GTTGTAACATTATCCAGCCAACTGTCTAGGGAGCATCTTGACTGATTGGATTTCATTATGCACATTGCCGTCCTGCAGATTTGCCCTAAAGGCTGTCGGCCGGCCTGTATCGGCAGACGGCCCTGTTGGGAACGGTGCAACATGCGTCAGCATCAGGGTGATGTCGCTCTGGAGAAAATCACGTCGTGCCCTGCGCTTGACTGGTCCTGCTGATTATCGTCTGCTGCTGTCTGTCTGTCAAGATGTTTTCCTGCCGCTCAGGTCCACGTGACCGGTGCAGCTGATGTGCCGGGATCTCGATCTTTCGCAAGCGGGTCTGAACTGAAGATTTGGAGAATGAGCATGGTGACTTGCTGCTGTCTGTCTGTTAAGATGTTTTCCTGCCGCTCAGGTCCACGTGACCGGTGCAGCTGATGTGCCGGGATCTCGATCTTTCGCAAGCGGGTTGAGCTGAAGATTTGGAGAAGGAGCAGGGTGACTTACGGATGAGGTTGTGTATTGTCGTTGTGATACGGTACAACATTGATGTTCTGTGGGTTGCTTGCGCGGGCTTACAGCACGATCGGAAACTTTGCAGTCTCCTAGGTGTGGAGAGGTCACAGTCGCCAACTAATGGCTAGTTGTGTGAAGAGCCTGCGAATGAAGTTAGCATGCCGCAGCTGTTTTGGTGTGAGCGCTGTGAGCCGTCAGGTCCGCTAATAGTATAAGTCGAAACTTAGAAGCATGCAGTGCTGTACCTTCAGTCTTGAGGTGAAGGCGGCATTTTTATGGTAGAGAACGAAACAACATGGCCGTAACACTGGGCAGCATCTAGTCTTGCAGCTACGGAAAGTTATGACAATCCTGTACTCTCACTCCCGAACATCATAACCGAACATATAACAGCGTTGTCCTGTCGCCAAGCTTCACGTTTGCCATGGAAGAAATAGACCTGGAAGACCCGAGCTTCGACCAGCGTGTTGAAGATGAAATCCAGTTGCAAGAGGAAGAAGGTGATGAGATAGAGCTGGACATGAGTGAGTGTGCCGAGATACCACTGGACACTGAAGACGGTGACTGTGTGGATCCAGACGAAATTCCATTGGGGCCCGACCCGATGCGTGAACTGGATGAGAGGGTGTGGGAGCCCGGTGCCAGTTGCGGCTTTTATGTTTCCCGGCACACGCCGCTGCAAAGGCAGGCGAAGGTCTTGATCATCAACTTGGTGACTAATCTGACGCGCTTCGTGCCAAAGCAGGACATGAAGCGGCTGCTCTCAGTTTTGCCAGCAAGAAAATCGCACGGCACCTGCATCAAGACCAAGCTGGCAGCGTCACTGCTGGGTCTGAGCCAGAGCTCAGTCGATCGTGCAATGGGTGAATCAGGGAACTTGCCGAGGACATGCCCTGAAAAAGAGTCAGGCAAGTCCGAGGAAGCTGTTCCAGATCCGGATCCAGATCCTTTGCCAGATGGTGACCGAGACAGAGATCTGGTGTATGATCGTGCATTGGACAACTTGGTGGACATCTGTTTGGCAAACGCTGCCGAGGGGCGTTCCTTCCTCGCCTTTGAGCGTGACGCGGCTGCTGGGCTTAATTTCAGACTTCGTGGGTAGGGTGAGGTCTTGTTCTGTTGTTGATGTTATTTTGCACGGTGATTCTTCAAATGGCAGGAGCGCAACAGAAGGAGAGGAGTGGATCTGCAAGATCTCCCACTGAGCAGAGCGGTGTGCGGTGAAGTGGAGTACCTGGCGGCTCGTGCTATCGAGTCTTTAGACGCGTTAGCAATCAACGCAATCCTGCCAGGCCTCGGCATATGCTCAGATCTGAGTGTGGCCCTAGACCCCATGGGGCTTGGTCGAGCGTTTTTTGCTCGCAGGGACACCGTCCTACTGGTGAACTTGCAGATGGCATCTGCAAAAACTGGTCAGCTTTACTGCCCTTTGATTGGTGGAAAGTCTTTGGGCCTTGGTGGCCACGCCAAGCAGGGTCTTGTCGAAGCAACTCTGTCATTGCTGGCAAATCATGTTGCCTGTCTTGATATGACCCGATTGCGGGAGTCCTGCGCTCTGATATGCGGTGATGGTCAAATAGCCAAAGGAGGCGTTCTGTCTCGGCACAGTTCAACTGGTGCAGCAGAGGCCATATGGGAAGCCATTTATGGTGATGCTGCTTGCTTTGCAGCTCCCATGTGCACCGACTGGGGGCTGATGCATCGCGAGTCCACCGCCTTTGACCGAGCGGTGAAACGGGTTCCAGCTTCCGTTGAGCTCATAGAGGTGATCAGCGTGCTTGACAAAGTGCTGTGCATGGGTGAAGGAAAAACGATTCTTCGAGGCGCGGCCGCCCATTTGGGTCTTCCCGCACCGACCCTGCATGCTCCGGGGGGTACGAGGATGTTCGTATACTTCAATATGAAACTTTTACGAAACTTTGCTGCGGTGACCGCGGCTCTCCACTGCCGCCTCGCACCACAGTTGCAATTTGGGATCCCCCGCCAATGCCCAAGCTGCCTATCACAGATTCTTATAGGCTCCACCTTTTTTGGAAATTCAGGGTTTGGGTTCAGGGTTTCGTGGCATGGTGCTTGAGGGTTTAAGCTCAACTCTTGATTTTCCAGGTTCACCCTGCTGTCTCGCTCAGGCATGGAAACAGAGTGGTCATGGTGCACGCAGCTTACAGGCCTTAATGGATCTGGGCCGACGGCTCACGAATGTCGCCTTCATCACCTTTGCGGCCTTCTTTGAGGGTTTCTTTCCCTCAGTGTTTGTGCCTTTCTCATTATTGGTGCAACGAACAGCTGAGCCGCAGGAACTTGAGAGAGCTGCCACACAGACCATGGACAAGCTTCATGCCTGCAAAAAAGGTTTGGCCCAGATCAAGAAACTCGTACTGGTGAGCACACTGCTCAGACAGCACTGCACTCCGGGTGAAGTCGTTCGGCTGTTGGATGCATTTTGCTATACGAAGGCCTCTCGACAAGTTTCCGGATTCCTTGCAGCAGTGATGCGCATTGTGTTTATGCTTCCGCCGAAGCTGCAGAATGTTGCCCTTCAGACAACAGCTTACGAAGGTGATGAACAATACCACTGTTTGGGGCCGCACTGCCAGTGCCTGCAACAAAACCGCANNCGCATGGCACGGAACCCTTATCCCGAATTGGGTGAAAACCAAGTCTACATCCGCATTTACTCCCAGCGCGGACGGAGGGGTCAGTCACGACGAATCAGAGTGCCGCTGTGGACGGTGAGCGGTGCAATCGAGGACCACCCTGAGCGGCCAAGGGTGCAAAAGCACTTACGGAGTGGTGAGGTTTTGCTTGGTGCAAACGCCATGCGACCCCACATCACAGAGGCTGCAGGGTCACGTTGTCAAGTCCCTGAATTGGTCTATGCGGTGAGCAAAGACATTTTGGCGGCTTGTGATAGCGCTTCGTCATCCATCGACGCCTTTATAGGTGAGCTCGAAGAAATGTTCAAGCATGTAGGGGTGAACGACGACATGCAGGAGGTCCGCAACCTTGGAGGTGAAGCGTTTGACTGGAATGCGGTCCTCCACCCGAATCAGGTCAGCCTTCGCTCCAACGGTGAGGCCTTCAGACGCTTCACGGCCGTCCTTCTGCCTTTCCTCAAGAACAGCAGGTGGCCCGAGGGTGAAGTCTTCGCTGGAGTGAGGCCTGAACGGTGAAATGTTTCTTTATTAATCAACAGAGTGCCACGACAGTCTAGGCCAGCATGCGCTCATGTGTTGACGTTGTCACAGGCGCAGCTGGGACTTGTCGGAGGGTGAGCTGCTTGCGCAGTACAAGATCTTGATAATGCGGATGAGACATGCGGCCACCGCTTCGAGGTCAACACCACGTGACGTTGCGGAGGCGGCGCAGCGCTGGAAAGTGGCCGAGAGGTTCAGGGTGAGGCCTGTTGTCACGCTTCAGGCGTTGTGGTCTTTGCGCCGCTTTTTGCATTGTGGACATGCGCAGCAGTGCAAGCTGCTGCATCTGGTGTCGGCCTTCCTCTCCGAGCCTGACAAGGGTGACTTCTTCGTCACCAACGGATGCTGCTGGGCTTTTTATTGACATCCTATTTTCCCGGACTCTTAGCCTACTTATATTATAAGGCTACCCTGAACCCGAGACCTATAAGCCCGGTTGGAACCCTAAACCTAAACCATACCCACCTCCCAAAAGGGCGCACAGGCACATCCTAATCCCTGAACCTTAAACCTGAAACCCTGAACCCATTACATCAAAATTCCGGTTTCACATTGTTCAGCGGTCGATTCAAGGTTTGTTTTGCAGGGATCTGTCAGGATACAAACAAAGGGTACAGGTTGTCTTGTGGACTCCTATGGTCCCAACAATAATCCCATAGTTCCTCTAGGAAGCAAAATCCAACCAAACCCCAAGCATCTACAGCCCCCGTATGCATGAAGCATAACACCCGTAGCAAAGGCTGTTCAGGGTTCAAGGTAAGCCGTAAACCCCTACTTATAAACCCGTTGAGCCAACTTCAATCTCGTTGCGCAGAATCACAATCCAGGTTTGGGTCATCCTGGCAACGGCCACAGGGTGACGGGCAAGAGAGCCAAGACTGAGATCTTGCAACATAGCTGCCGGGGGACGATCGCAAGGCTTTTGCAAGGCACCATGGCGGGGAAACTGGTGATGATCCTTGACTGCGAGGTGAAGATCGATTATGGGGCTGTCGCTAAGGACCTGACACTATTTCCATGGTTTGCTGTGGGAAAAGGGTCCAACGGTGATGCTCCCCAGCTTTCGCTGCAGCATTCGCCTTGCTGGCACGCGGTGAGGGTTTTTCACAGGTACAGGATGCTTCACATGCCAGAGGCTTCCGTCGAGCGAATAGGGTCAATTCTCCATCACCAATTTCACACGATGCAGCTGCTTTCGCCTGCGCAAGCCGTTGACCGCGCNNCTGCTTGCGCAGGCAATGGTGAGCTGCCTGGGTCAAGAGAGAGACGAAATGGTGAAATCTTGCGTGGCCAAGGCTATGAAGGACATGCGAAGGGTGAAAATGGTGAGGAAGACCACCCAGGTTCAACAGGTCTCCAACCGTGTGGAGGCACTGGGTGATTCAGGTCGCCTCACTACTCTCCCTGGGCACTCCGAGGAAGATATGGTGATGCTGACCTCGCCCCTATCGGTGAACGACTTCTCTATGGGTGCACAACAGATCAGGGCCATGATTTCTGACCACCGGTCGAAATCCATCCCGTCAGAGCTCCCGGAGTTGCTGAAGACGGTGTTGGATGATGTCAGCAGACAGGGGCCCCCCGGCTATTGTTTCAGATTTGTTGTTTCAATACTTGTTAACTCCGGTGTTGTATGATTTGTTGTTTTAGGGGCCTAGGGGTTTAGGGCTGTAGGGGTTAGAGTTTAATATGGATCATCCCGATAAGGTCTATCCAGGCCTTGCCCGTTTCCTTGCGCAATATGCGAGACTGCGCAAACAAGTCCGCTCCATCCGTGGTGAAATCCCACTTGAAAGCTTGGTTAGAGAGTGACGAGGGCAAGCGCTACAAGGATGCTCACATGCAGCTTTGGCATGCAGACTAGGATCCGGTGTACAGAAGGATCCTGCTGGTTGCCTGTTAATGTTAATTTGCAGGGTCCCGCGGTGAGTTGTGTTTGTACAAGATGCAGCTGCTTACAATCCATTGCATCATTGTCATCTTCATAAGCCATGAAGACCACTGCGGACCTTGTGATACGGGGAGAGAAAACGTTTCGGTGATCAAACACCTGAGCGGAGTCTTTGG